AAATTGTCAACGAAAACTTAAATAATTTAGTGATTTTTTCTTTTCATTAAAAATAAGAGATTTTAAGTTTAAATAGCATAATATGTACATAAGATGAAATAAGAAATAACCGAGAGTAACTTTTTATTGTGTAATTAAAATTAAAAAAAATGTATATATATATAAATGAGAATTCTGTTGTAAAAAATATCAAGAGATTTTCACTCGAATTTCAAGCTCTTCAACAATCACACGCATCAATCATAATTGCACTAGTGACAAGTCCTTGAATTTGACATGAAAAACAAATTATCTTTGTATGATTCAAAGCCCTTTGATAACAGTGTAATCGGGGACCACGAGGGTAACTTGATTATTGAATTAGCGAAAAAACTAGGCCACAGCTCAAACAGTGATGCTGAATTATGGGCATGAACTAGGACTTGAAATACCCTGGAGCTAAGGATTCAAGCATATTGAAATTGAGGCAGACTCACTCTTTATTGTTAACTTTTTGAATAATGTATATCCTGCTTGAAAGTCTCATAAAACTTTAGTTGTTTCTAACGGATTGTTGATACAAGAGTTTGATTTGGTAACTTTCTAATATGCTTTTAGAGAAGTAAATAAAGTGCCTGGTACATTCATAAAGTGACTAAGTGCCGTTTGATGTGATTAAAGTTTTTAATAGAAGTTTTGTTTGAAAAAAATTATTATAAAAGTGTTTTTTTGTAAATAAAAAAAATATAAAATAAAAATAATATGTTAATTTTATTAAAAATCAAATAAAAAACTCTTGTAAAAGCACCAATTTAATACTTACGAGATTTGCAATGAAATGTACATAATATTAATTTGTAAGAAATTATAATATTTTTCACCAATTATAATATTTGTGCAATTGAAGTTTTTGAAAATAAAAAAGACTTCCCACCAATTACACTAAATATAGTTTAATACAGCTATAAAATGAAAGTTCTTTTCACATTTATTTTTTTATTTATAAATCTCTAATTTAATATTTTATTTTTGAAAAATTGAGATACTTTTATTAAAACTAATATGCTGTTGGTATTCAGTTTCTTTCTTTTGTTGTTCTTATTTTCTTTATAATCATAATAATCATATTGCGTATCATATCATGTTTTATAAAATTTGATTAATAAACGAAATTCCTATTTGCGAAAAAAAAAAATCACTTGATAAAAAAAAAAAAAAGAAAAAAGAAAAACTTGACAACAAAATCGATGGTTGATAAAGAAAAGGAGAAGAAGACCTATTGGGGTGGCCGTGGCTTGGAATTCTCTCTAATTGATGAGGTCTTGTCGCCGACGGCCAGCGGCGAGTAGATCGCCGATTTGTTTAATTTAACAATATATATAGATGGCCCACAAAACCACAGCATGGCTAGGAATATTCTATTAGAGCTTGCCACGTCATCAAAGCACTTGAGAAGCAGACAAAATACAAAAGCAATAATAATATTAATAATAATAATGCGTATGGGTTGATGGGATCCAGTCAAGCACAAGCTAACCTTAATTTATTATTATGTTTTTGTAATCTCTTTATCATAAAATAATTATTTTTTTTAAATTTAAGAATAATATTTATATTTAGATATTAGTGTTTATCTCTTTTACTTTTTAAATATTAAAATAAAAATTATTTTAAAATTATGTAATTTTAATAAAATATTAAATAAAAAAATAAAAAATATTTTAATTCATATTTTAAAAATATAATATTTTAATTTTTTTCAATGCTTTTTAATGAAAATTTATTGAAACAATTTAATTTTATAATGATTTTCTTTCTAATTATTAAAAAGTAAAGTGTATAGACATTGTTCCATTATATTTATTTATAATTTAGAAAAAAGTTAAAATAATAAAAAAAATTTATACTTAAATAATTAAATTAAAGTAACAAAATAATAATAAAATTAAAATTAAAATATTTATTTATTTTAAAAATAAAATAATAATTAATTTAAAATAAGTTTAAATTTTAAAAATAAAAATTATTTTAAAAGAGGGGGATATATTTTTAGTAATTTTTTTATGTTATGGACAAGTCAATGATACAATGTACTGCCAGCAGCTACCTTCTGGGCCCTGCCGATGTGTAGCCCTTGGCTCATAAAAATTTTTAAATCGTGTCTAACGGGTAATGGCCCATAATAAATGGTTTCAGTTTTTCTGGATTGAACCAATTAAACGGTTAGCCCATGAAAACAAGTTTCTAATCGGTGTTTGAAACTTGAAATCATGGAGAGATATTCTAACTCAGCTTAGTTTGATGATACCATTGTGCAATTATAATTGTATGTTTTTTTATTTTTTTAAATAATAAAATAAATATAAAAATTAAAATCTAAAATATAAAAAATGTTGTCTAAACGAAATTTAATAAAAAATAATAATATTTAATGAAATGTCCAAATAATTTAGAACTTAATATTTTAAATTTAAATATAAGTTAGATGAAACAAAAATAGAGGAAGAGGATTTTTCTACATTATATAACAAAGAACTGTCTTACATGATAAATTATATATAATTCATCTTATAAAATTATTTAAATATTTTTAAATTTTCTTTTATATTATTTTTAAAAAAATATTTAAATAATTTTATAAGACAAATAGTATACAATCCACCATGTAAAATAGTATTATATGATAATATAATCTACCTTCTGTGTAAAAATGGAAAAATTGAAGAAGTTGGGACTTGGGAGAGATGAAATAAAGAAAGGTTTGATCGACGGCTTCAATTCCAGTTCTATTAGACATTAAATCTGTATCTGGATAGCTAAGACGAAGTTTTTAATAAAAATTTTGTTTATAAATGTGACATTTAGGCAACTGGGAAAACCCTAACTTCATCGAGGACAGGACCACAGAGAGAGCCAAAATCATCAATCCTGGTATGGTAGAACGAACTGTAGAACGTAATTCTGGTTCTGGCAGCAATGGCTTTGAATTCGAAGCTTGCAGTCCTGAATTCACCTTTCCCACTCGATTTGAAGGGAGCTTTCAGGGTATTCTTCCCTGCGAATGCCTCCACCATCATGTTTCCATGGCAACCGTTCTTCGCATCTCCGATGGTGAAAGTGAGGTTGTAGGTTTTGTTAGGAACTGTTCTGAGAATTTGAGCGACAGCGCTTTCTCTTCCGGCGAGTAGCTCCACCGCGCTGTTTCCAGTAGGGACATTGAAGTGCTTGGAATCGATAAATTTCACGGCTTTAAGGGATCCGATTATCCATCCAGGGAGTGGGGAATAGAAATCCTCCTGCATGGGAGGAAGAAGGACGCCGTTTGTGGAGTTTCCAAGGCGGTGAGGACCCTCTTCAAATCCTGGGTTCTTCACCAAATTACCTGTACCCAAAAAAAAAAAAGAAGAAAACTCCTACAAATTAGTCACAAAATCTAGTGACATTTTTCATTCAGGCCAAGCAAATTAATAAAATTGTCTACCTGCTGTGGGTATCGGACGGATGAGTTCCTTGATAGCAACAGCATCGATCAGAGGACCACAAGCAGGATCTTCTTGAACTCCAGAGTTATGGAATATCACTTTAGCAAATTTAGACTTGGCTATGAACCCCCAGGCATAAACATCCCCGCCATTGCTGCTATACAGTGTCTGCAGCGGAAGGTCACCGGACAGGGGAGGCACGGAGACTCTCAGAACTTCATCTTGGGCACAGGTTCGTGATGCACCGAATGTCAGAGCGTAAAGGGTGCCTGGTTTGACGGGGATAGTCTGCGATATCGAGGCCTCGTTGCCCAGCCTGACGGCGTGGACGCCGTGAGCCACTGGGAAGAACATGCCGCCGGGCTGTGGCCCACCGGAGATGTACTCGACTAAACCGTTGATTTCCCATTTGGGTAGTGCGTACTTTCCAATGAGGACTGTTTTCTTGAGGTCTTTTGGCTTGGGTTGTTCCTCAAAGTTGCCATTGCCAAGGTACCCTGAAAACGTTAAGGAGAAAAAGAACCAAACTTTGAAATTTTAGTTAAAGAACATACAGAAAAAGAATGCCATAGAAAATCACAATAATTTCGAGTTTCTAAGGCATTGTATTTAGCTAAAGTTTACAGCTTTACATAGTATGTGTCCAAGAGATAGAGAAACAAATAGAGCAAAAAGCAGGAAACAAAAAAAGATCCTAGAAAAATTATCATACTTGTTGGCACCAAAATTAACAGTAAAATGTAAATGAAGAGAAAAAAAAGGTATCCATTTCTATGCTAAAGTTAAGATAAATTGTGCAAAATTTTGGGGGTGAAAGAAGATAGTTTTACCTTCAAAAGGTTTAGCACCTAAAGCACAGCCAGTAAGCAACAAAGAGAAAGCAAGCCAGAGTGAAGCAGCCATTGTCATATTTCACGGTGAACAAAAACTAGATGTGTCGAGAAGGAGATCAGGAAAGTGGGGAAATGATGAGAAATAAATGGATTTGACCGTCTGAGGCAGCGTAAAATGCAGAAGAGGGTGATAGAATTTATAGC